CCTTCGTTTAAACCAAACGTTTCAACAATATTTTCAACACCGACGGGAATCCAGGACAGAATTGAGGAGAAGGGGGAGAGAACACCGACGTGTGACGGTGGTCGATTTTATACAACAGTCGGATAACCATTTTCCTTTCTCTCTAATTTACAAACGACATACAAAATATATTGTATAATGTGTCATATCGAAGCGATAAAGGAAATGCGATAATCGTCGTCTAGCCGTCCGCTAAAAAACACGGGAAATCAACTCGAAAACTGTCTAGCGTTCTCCATGAGATCGATTAAGAGTACTATTTACAATAAAATCTAACAATACGACTCATCGCGCTGAGAACTCTTCTTTTATTCGTTAATTCTTTGGCATAAACCGAAGGACCTGTTAATATGCATCCTCCACGAAATTCGTAGTAACATTCTGCTCTAAACGTTTCTCTAAATTCCATATTCAACTCTTAACTCTTCTAGCTCACTAATTACATTAAGTTCCTCGTCTCTGTTTAATAGTCGGTTACGCTTCACAAATGAATTACGTGCTAAAAAAGAACGATCGTTTCAAGTAATAAGATCTACAAGATGGTTCTCGATTGCTCAGCTAAGCCTCTCGAAGACACCCTGATCATTTCTCAAAACAGCAATGGATAGTCGAAACTAGAACTCTAATCTACAGAAAAGAAAGATTACAAAATATCAAAAACTAACGCCGGTAATTTATTGCAACTGTCCCATTAGATTTCTTGCAAGACCGCGCGTCGCGTTGATTTCAAAATTGCATCCGAGCACCATCTTGTAGCCGCATGGTATGACAAAAAGTGCAATGGATGCAAGCAGGGACAGCGGATTAACCCAAAGAGGGATCGCTATGATTTTTCTGGATCTGGGAAAGAGAATGGTAAGTCGAGCATCCGACGGAGTCCACGATGCTCGTCGCGACGCCGAGCTGGCAAGCGAGGCTTCGCTGCGTCCGAGTGGACCGCAAACTACAGTTAAGCGCAAAGAGCATAAAATGAGAATCGGGAGATGTGCGTGCGGAGTGGATCGTAAATAAAATCCTTGTCCCTCCGTGTCGACGCTTCGGGACACGCTACAGATAGGCGGGAAAACGGGACATCGTTTCTTTCGCCCGCAGAATCGACGATTAGCTATTGTCTGTCGTGTGCACGCGGCTTCCGGTCCCATTGGACGTTCGCACCCTGCTCACCTGTGCCCCTTCGGAATTACTTAGTGTTTCGTCAACGCCGCGGCTCTAAAAGTGGTCCTAAATCTTGGATTCTCGGTTGTTCTCTTTTGATTTCAAGACGAAACTGACGAAACTGCGGACAGACGCGCTCGAATGTTTCGAATCCGTTCAATATTCTCGTTCAACGTTGACGTTACCACAATTGATCAAGCAGTCCCTAAAATGGCTCTGTATCTCGGTAGACACGTTCATCTGCCGCACTCCTTTCCTCGGAAAAGATGAAGTTTGAAAAAGTGGGTACGCGCACTTGAGATCCTCGAATCCCTTAACAATTCGCGACGAAATGGTCCATGATACTATTGACTGTACTCTTGTGCCGTTTTCTGTTTGCTTCAACGATAAAGTTCGTAATAGACGAGATTAAATATCAGCCTCAGTGCTTGATCCTGCCCGAGGAACGAGAGCAGTCTTCTTCACGTTTCCAGTTGGAACTCGGTGGGGAAAAGTGGGAATTTGTTCCCCGAGATCCTGGCCCAAGGGGTGCTTGACAGGACTTGTACGCCGCCCACGAAGACCGGAAGTAGGGGAGTTAGTTTCTCATGCTGAAAATAATCCCGTTGCCAACCTTTATTTCCCTTCTACTAATTTCTTAGTCTCAATAATAGATATATAAATATCTCTATCTTACTCAACGAACTAATGAATTATCACAGATAACAAGTTCAAAGAATATACCTTGTATAAAAATCAATAGAAAACATGAAATCAAATTCTTTACTCACCGACAAAGCCAGAGTCCAATCTAAAACAGTGCACAGAGTCTCAGCCCAGGCCCTTTTGTGCGCCTCGCTGTCCTTATGAACGTTAGTCTTCTTCTGGAACGAAGTATCCTTAATCTTAACCCCTTGACCCTCACAGCTAACGTCATCAGCGTCATCCTTCAAGAAAGGATTCATCCTGAATCCCCTCTTGCTACGTTTGTAATCCCTCAGCAGCTCGTCGACATTTTCCAAACACATCGAAGAACAAGTGTCCTTCTCCTCGATCTTCAAGGACATCCTAGACGACATGTCCAAATCATCGATCGAAGTGGACACCGACCTCTTCCTCAGTTCCATCACCGATCTGCATCTCCAAGCCGGCGAACCGCGAGCGTCGAACTTGTGGAAGCCCTCTGTCTCACTGGGAATGACAAACTTCAGCGAGTTCCTCCTGGACAACAGGCACGCTTCGCTTTTCCTCCTCTCCATCCGCGATCGCCTGTAATAGGACATCTCGTCGACCGTCAAACTAGCGCTCGTCGCCATTACTTCTAGAACGGAGGTCCCGAACGAGTCTGCGGACTCCGTTCTCCTAAGAGGACTCAGCTTGTAGAATAAATTGTCCCGACGATTGATCATCTGAAGAGGAGCAGGAGTCATCGAGCTGTATTTACCGTCGATGTAGCCCTCGCTGGAAGTGCCACCTGACCTGTCCAGGTACACTATCTTCTCCGTGACGGAGCCCAGTCTGGATACAGGCCGGGAATTGTCCGTCTCCGGTTCACTCGGGGGGCCAGAGTCAGTAGAATACTCCACTGCTAGGTCAGACACTCTGAACCGTCTCAAATCTTCGTCTGATTCTGGTCCAAGTTCCTCTAAACCACTCTCGTCGTCGAGGTTCGGATTATAGGCTTCTATATCCTCTTGGTCGTCTTGATCATCTGGATCATCGTGGTCCATTCGAGCATCTAACTCATCCATGGACTCGTGATTGTACTCCAGTGGAGCTGGAGTGGCTATAGGTCTGTCATTAATCGGTTCCTTTCTGGTGATCTCCGGATAGTCATCGGGTTGAGCTACTAAGAGGAATATCTTCCTTTCAGAGAAGCTGTCAGCTATCGCGTGCTTGCCATCTTTGTCCACCAGCACGTCCACGTAGCTCTCGCAGAGTTCTTTGAAAGTGGTCCGCGATTGTTTCAGGTATTTCGATAATATCTGGAGATTCGGATCCTTGGGATAGTCCTTGTCGTCGGGGCTAGAGTTCAACAGGTATTTCACTGTTTCGAGGGTAGCTCCAGTTACTTCTATTTCCCGGAGACAAAGCTCGAACAACGTGACGAGCTTGATGATCCAGGCAGCTCCAGCTTGGCGATAGAGGTTCGCCCGTTGCTCGAGGTTCGCTACCTTCTGGACTAGGAATTTTAGTCCTGGCCGGCTGTCGAACTTTAAAGCTGCCGCGTATGAGAGGTCCAGAGCAGAAAGGAAGATGTCCACGTGTTTGCTTGAGAGATACGACAGGCAGCCGGATGCTGAGTCTTTTAGCAACGGCGATGACATTGAGTGCGGGATGACGTGTGATAGACTAGAATTTTCATGAAATCGAGCATTGAAGTCGGAATCGAATATTTGCTTCTGATTCGTGTGTGATTATTTATACAAACGTCTATCGTCTATCAGTAATGAGTTACTGAATGATTGCTGAAAGCTACCTACCTAGGGAAGGACGAGTCATTAGTCTGCAAGAGGACACTGGCGATGCAATGCAGTAACATCTGGTGCACCAAAAGGCCGACCACCAGCGCCCTCAGCTGAACTCGCACGATATAAAGGTCAGGATTGAGCGTCGACCCCACGGAAGGTGGATACAGTAGAAATACGTAGGACCTGTCGTCGGACGCTCTCAAAGAGTCTTCAGCGTGTTGTTCCTCCAGGAGGAACACCTGAAGAGCACAAGAACCTGCATTTTTCGATGATCAACGGTCCACGTTCGACGCACGATTCTTCCTAAATCCTCGAACCTTTTCAATTCCGTTTCAATCCATATTCAAAAGTTCATCCTTATCGCGACGCACCGAGTGCATCGAATTTCGTCGATCAATGAGATGCAAAAATGCCGAAAACACGACTACGATCGATCCGGACATTTTAGTTCTATCGTTCAATAAATTGTCTCGATTTTAATGTGACTTTCATGGATGATGAACCGAGAGTCGACGCGTCAGTCGATTGATTCTTCAATTGAATGTCAGCTCGAGAAGTTACAGAAGCGATCGCGCGCGATGCCCGCGATGTCGCCGCTGATGATATCGTGATGATGTGACTAAAGATGACGATGGCCCATTGGTGAATCGACCGTCGAAACCGGCGATGGGTTCTAGCACGACCTAACGTGATATCCCGTTAATTCGCTCGGTCATTAGAAAATACGTGTGCGTTCTACGAAAGCTGCAGCTTCTAGGATTGGTGTCGTATATCTCATCACGTACATATTATGTGACAGTGAAATTCTAGCCATGGACTCAAGCCATGGATTTTAATGGTGATACGCAAGACCGTGCCAAGTTAAGTTTAAATGATATCTCGGCAAAACGACGGGGTCCTTTTTTTCCTCGGTCAATTCTACCGGTTCTAACCGAACCAATTATAAATATTCTAAAATTCTATTCTTTTCGAACAAGGAAAAAAACAAACAAACAAACAAACAAAAATTTATCCTCTAAGACACACGAGGAGTATGACACAAAACATCGACTATTTCGGTGAGCTATGCGTCGTCAAGTCTGCAGAATTGTGCAATACGAAATAATAATAACCAAGTGAAATGGTTGAAGCAACATCGGTAAGGATCAGAAACGCGTAATCAAGTATATTAGTGAAGGATTTCAATGGACAAGGACGAATTGAACGAGAAAGGACCTCGTCGAGGAGGTTCTGCAGCCTGACCTGTGCCTTCTACCAGCGAGTGCAAACATCTAAACGAGGTGAGATCGGTTACCAAAAATATCGTGCCGTCTCCGCGCGTCGACAGGCTTACTTCGACTCCTTCCCCGGCCGCCTCTCTCTTTTCCCAACACAGATTTTCCCGCCGCGGGTTCGCCGACTGAGGGATTCAAGGGGGTGCAATACAACAACGAACCAGCAGATAATAAAAGCATCTGTATTTGACAACAGTGTGCGTCGGACACATCGAGTGGTACAAAAATACAGATTAAAAGACACGAGTGTGTTTGACAATATCGATGCGTTACACACCACGCATATAGTACGTATCCTTCTCTTTCTTTTGTTCTTTTTTTTTGTTCCTTTTATTCGCTTTCTTCGGCGATCACTCTGACAGTCTTCTATTCGTTTTTGTGAACGCTGCGGTATGGCGTAGAATTTGAGACAGTTTGGCTTCACCGTCGTGTTCGAATCGCCGCGAATGCTGTGTCCATTTTTTTTGAGCAATGAAACTTCGTTTAAAATCGACCCTCGGACTGCGAATTTCGTGCGTTCGTAACGCGCGCGGAGGTTCCTCGTCCCTTGCGTTCGCGTGTCGTGAGAATTCCATTCGATCCCGACGAATTGTGCACGGACGTCCATGTAAATTCTCGTTTAGGAACTAATCGACTAAAAGAGAAATAAAATATCGGCTAACTACCTCAACGAATATCTCTGCTAGCTAAGGAATACTAAATTCGTATGCTTCGCGACGATCATTATGAACTTCGATTCAGTATCTCGTTACGAATGCACAGGAATCCGCAGTCCGCGGAATTCTCTTCATAGAAAATACGTATCTATTAAAATTTGGCGCGCAGTGCTGCGTGTTTGCGCGGGCAATCTCAGTCTATCAGTATCTACCGACAAAACATTCGCGAATTGAACGAGTTTGTTTGGTTGATTCTACGCCACGGTGTGCAATCAGCCATACAGATGCAAGCTCGAACACACGAAAAAGCGCACGATTCACGAGGCACGTTAGCGAAAGAAAGGAAATAAATATATATATATATATATATATATATATATATATATATATATATA